GATCACATAAAGAGAAATACAACTGTAATGCATGTGCTTCCATTTGTGGCATGATCAGAAAAAAAAATATATCATAGGAGGATAACCTCTGGAGAAGAAATGAACATTATTAATAGGAAGGATGTTAAAGTACTTTGTTTATTAAAGTTAAGGATGATGTTCTCTTAATCTTTTGTCTCAGCATCTGTAAAGAAGGTGGTGTGGGAAACAAAATACCTGGCTTGAGAAATGAGTCCCACCATTCATTAAGTATCTCAAATGCATGTTTCTATTTGAATAACTTTGACTTCCACAGATGTATCATTTAATACTACTAATCACAAGTCAACCCAGAGATCATTATTGATTTGTATATTTGCTGATGCAAAACTTTCACTTGTGTATCTCATGAGGGAGGTGTGTAGAGATGTCATTTCGCTAAAGATTGAGTTTAGTGAACCATGTAGCATATTTATTTCAACACAGGATATTTTATGTGTAATGACCCTCATGAACTGATAAAAACCTAGACAGAAAATGTGGGAGATGTTAAACAGTCACTAATGTGATGGGAATACATATAAAAGAAAAGGAGGCTTCCAGGGAAAATGAAACATGAAAAACATGAGGGGATACAAATATTTAAAAATTTATACAGATGAGATTTTTGAAGCCTGGAGCAGTTTTGTGTCTCAACCCTTTTTTTTTTTTTTTTTTTACTTTTCTTTCTTTTTTTAGCTTTGCTATCTGCAAATGGACAGTTTGGGAAGAGAGATTTTCTTTCCACAGAACTAGGCTAGGTAAGCAATCTCAGAGGGCCCAAGATGTTACAATGAAATTTGTCAATCTACCTATTCCCTGTCTCATGTTCAATGAGATTAGTTTTAGGAGTATTTGGGGGTATAAAACTATCTCAAATTAATGAAATTATGCAGGAATATTTCTTCTGATGTTCTTAAGGTATACAAATTTTTAGAGCAGTGGTTCCCAAAGTGTGGTCCTTGCATTGGTAGCATCATTATCGCTTTTGAATGTGTTAGAAATGCATAGTCTCAGCCCCTATCTCCAGAACTACTTTATCAGAAATTCTGGGAAGCTCCCACCAATCTAAAATTTAACAAACTCTCTAAGTGTTGCTGTGAAGCATACTGAATTTTCTCCTTAATATTCTTAATAAAGGTAACTAAGAACTTTAAAGTGATGCTGGTCTAAGAAGCCCATCAGAATCCTAAGGAAGTAAAGTGAAAGACTGAACGCTGAGGAAAGGACAACTGAAGAAAATGGACAGGAAAGATCTAAAATAAAAGCTGAAGAAGCCCACCACAAGGGTAACGGGCATAAGTGGAAGCAGTTGTTAGCCTCTGGACAATAGATGTAGGGCCAAAGTAAGCCTTGTGACAGATATGGGAGCAGCAGCAGCATCGTGGTTGCCGTCATCATCATATTAGCATCATCATCATCATCGCCACCGTCATCATCACCATTATTATCATCTTAGTGGGTGAGAACTCATGATATCCAGACACTGGACTAGGGGCATACATAGAATTCTAAGTTAACCCTTATAATAAATTTGGGAGTATTTAAAATTTAAATTTTGTCTGTTTTATATATGACAAAACTGAGCCTTAGAGAAATTAAGCAGTTTACCACCAAATTTATTTAAGTAGCAAGAAAGAAAACTGAAATTTGAAGCAGGCAGTGTGACTTCAAAGCCCACGTTCTCAACTGCTCTTCTTTCTTGATATCTCATAGCATCTTGGAGCTAAAGGTGTCCTCACCATTAGGCAAGGAAAAAAAGAATCCAGTATTTATTTAATGACTAGTTAAATTGGATGAAGAGAAACCATGGAAGGTGAGGAAGGCAGAATTTGAAAAACTCAAAAGACTCATATTTTGAAGGACAGTGCTGTGGGGCTGGAAGGAAGACTGGCAGCCATTCCTAGAAACAGCATCGTTGATATGGTGAAAACACATTTTTGAAGCACAAGTATGAAAGAGTATGAAGAAAACAAGATGATGGGATAGAATTACTGATACGATCATAAGGTTTAATGTCCTAAAGAGAAGTGGATCAGCCATCTGGAGCTCAATATAAAATGCCAACATCCATATAATGGTAAAAAAAAAAAAAATCTTCATGACTTAGACTCAATGAGGAGAAGATCTTTTCTTCATCTCTCTTTCAAGTATAGGCTTTATGGTTCATTTTTTCTTCCACAGCAGCATGATTAAAATATATATATAATAGTATCTTGAATCATACAGATATGGGTTTGAAACCCTTTCCTAAGCCAACAGGCAGCCTTAGGCAGGCTCCTTATTATATCTGAACTTGAAGCTTTTATGTATTTTTAATAAAGTCATTAATACACACTTAATAATAATATTATTAGAATCAAATGGGGAAATGAACTATAGGGGTTCAGAAAGAGTTGCCCCAATATTTGCACCTTTGGCATGCAGATTATTTAAACCTAAAAATAATCAGTGTCCAATGACTCAGGAAGAAAAATTGACCTTCCCCTTAACTGCTTAAAAGAATTTAGACAGAAGACATGCTCCAGCAAAAGAGCTATCACCATAAATAACTAATATATAATATGAATTTGGGGTGGTAGATAAGGAGAATCCTTGCAGGCACTGTTTGATCAAAGTCCTCCCTATGTCCCTTTGTTTCTGGATGGCTCAGCAACATTTGCTTACCAAACATTTACTCTTCTTCATTTTCCTGTGAATTGATTTCCTTTTACTTTGAAGTCCCAGACCCGCGGCCCCTTCTCTTTAGTTCAGGATGATATATATACCTCATTTTGCCTGTCTTTGGAATCTCATGTCTATGTGGATACCCATACATATGAAATTAAATTTGATTTTTTCCTACTAATCTATTCCATGTCAATTTAATTTTTAGACCAGGTAAAAGAACCTTGAAGACTTCCCAACAGAATAAACAGTACCTGGCACTTAGTAGGTTCTTTTCCATCATTTAATATTGATTTGTTATATTTAACTTAATATGAAGTTATTAAATTTAACTTCATGTTAGTTAAATTTAAGTTAATTTCATTTGTGCCAACATGGTATGAAGGTATACGCAAATATGATCCAACTTACTTCTAGCTCTAACCCCCTCAGGATTAGTACATTTAGTTCATAACTAAAATGAACATAGATAAATAAGAAAAAGAGGGGGAAGGGCTTGGGGCATTTGGTGCTAAGAGGTGACTTAAATATAGATATGATAGTTTCTAAAGTCATCACAATAAATTTCCCTTCCAGTTGAAAATGCTTCAGATTTGATTCTTGGTCTCCTTGGCTCCAAACTACTCACTCCTTAAACTCTCCATGTGACCTTGAGCATGTAACCTAAATTTAAAGAACTTTTGCTTCCTCATCTAGAAACCAAGAAATATACTTAAATTGTTCAATTTTATTTAGTAGAGTACAATACACATTTTCTAGTTGTGGTCTCTAGTGGCTTTCCACTAAAGCCACTTTCCACTTTAGCCTTTCACTAAAGGCTGTAAAGGAATTAAAATTGTGTATGAATCTCATAATATAATATGGAGCTGGTTATTGGATGAAATCTTTTCTGAGGGTCTTTAAGAAAACTAGTTACCTCCCCTTCATCTGCCATTGCACGGGGTAGAACCTCTTTTATTTTGAGGAAGGTGTGTTTGTGTGTGTATGTGTGTATGTAAGAAAGAGAGAGGGAAAATATATGTCATATTTGTGTTTTTGAGGGAGCTGGCAAATTAACCCATTTACATATTTACACATCTCTGGTTATGTTTACACATTTAAATGGACTGCCTGAGATCTAAGCCTTGAAGTATCATGTTATAAGCTCTAGCACTCTGTACTCAACTACAAGGAAAACATTCTATGCCTGGACTGTTATAGGAACTTTGCAAGTCAGTAGACGTGCCTTTAACAAGCAATAAAATGAAGCTATCAGCCATTCCAAATGGACCAAGATAGAGGTCACATGATTAAACCACCTCTGGACCAGACAGTCTCCGATGTATTTCACTCCAGTTTCCATCTATTAATCAGAGGAGTTGGGAGAGCAATAATTTAAACGCTGCAATAATCAATTCCATAACACATTAATAGAAGCTACAGTCAAACTTTCCCACACCACTGACTGCATTGGAATCCTGACAGGAGCCCTAGGGCCATGGCTGATTTGCATTAAATTTACATAAAATTGTAAATCAAGAATACATGAACACAGCCCTAATATTTGTTAGTGCTTAGATCTTTCCTGATAGATGGATTGAAACTGCTGGTGGTTTGCTTCGCTTGCAATAAAATTGTGCAGCTGATCAGCTTTGTTCTCATTCTGCAATCCTGCGGAAAGGGACCCATGAGAGCTATAGTTTGGGGGCATGTGTATGCCACTTAGGGTTTTCATCCTATAAACCATGACTCAGATGTGCCCTTGGAAACCCCAATCTAGAAGCAGATTGTCCCCAGTGACTTTGTAGAGCCTGGTCACTGGATTTACTCACAAATAACTTAGCATCAAATGGAGATACAATTTATAGAGAAAGCTGGCCAGCTGAGAGGATGTCAAGGCCCCTGGAAATTTTTGTTTTTCCAAATAGCATTTACTATCATGAAAACAGATAATTAGCAACATTCTTTATGCTGAAGATAAAAATCAAGCCTTCAGCAAAGCATCCAGTACCTAACAGCTGATAAAGAGCACCTCACATGGTTCTAAGTATTCTGTGTGCTCTTCTTATAGATATGGCCTTTGTTACATGCTTTTATATTAAGGGCTAGGAGAGAATATGCTTATCAAGGGTCCTGGTTCACAGAGGCACTCTTTCTATTCTCCTAAGTCCTCTTATTTTAACTCTATCCTGACAGAAAATAGACACTTAAATGCAATAATGCCATCGAAAGCTTTTTTTTTTTTTCAGAAAGCATTTTGCAAATATTTTGTACATCATGTTTAATTTCTGTTTCTCATCTCTCCCTTACCACCCACCTATCCCACCTTTTCTTACCTTGCACGATCAAGTAAACTTGGGAGGTCTTGGGCTCATGCTGTGTCTGAACCGAGCAAGTATAGGAACCCTCATCATAGACGTCCACCTTCTGGATTCGGAGGCTGTATTCCAGAGAATGGCGTTTCTCCAGCTCAACCCGAGGGTCCAGAGACCACTTGTCATGCCCAGCAAAAATGATGCCAGAACGGTTCAACCAGGCCACCTTCGAGTTCTTGTCTTCTACAACACACCTGCCAGAGCAGAATAACAACATTAGAACCTCAGCCCTACCTGCATCTGTATTCATTCTCCATATGACTGGCCTCAACAAGACCAAGAACAATAATTACATGCAGGATGAATCATCGTCAAGCCACTTTTTAGAGTCCTAAGTATTGTCCTAAGACTAATTACCATCCAATGGATGGATGTCACTATATTAGATTCAATTTGGCAATAAAAAATCAATATGAAAAATGCAAGCAAATAAAATTAAATAGGTATTGATTTCCCACTGGATTATCTTCTTGTCTAGGAAAAGGTCACCACATAGAACTCCATCTGTTTAATTTGAAAGTGATAATGTGACACATTTACTGAGTTTTTAATTGTATTAATTCTTTCATAAGTATTTCCTAAATTCCTGTGTGATGGTAGATATAATTTATGCCCTACTGCTGTAGGAATTAGACAAGATTTCAGAGTTTGCTTCAGATTCTTGTAAGTCTGGAATGCCCTCTCCCAGGAGTGAGAAGTGTGTGAATAGATCTGAAGGTAAGCAGATAGTTGTGTCAAGGAAATCAAAGCTAGTGTCATCTTGCCTAAGTCTGGTTCCAGCTGCTGTAGGCAGCAAGTTGTCTGCTGGCAAGACGGCTTACAACCAGCATTTCTGGTGCATCAGAGTGAATTTGATATTTTATGAGAGATGAAGGAACTAGTTTCATAGTTCCTATTCCAAAAAAGATGAAGGAAAAATGTTTATCTGAATGACTACTTATTTTAAAAACCTATAAGGATCTCTTTCTGAAACTTGCAAGAAAGAGGCAAGAATACAGATTGATGGGGAAAGGGTAGAGGCTTAATGGTGAATGCAGTTTTCTCCTTCAATTCCAGTGAGAATCTGGAAATGGAAAAATCAAGTAAAAAATAAACAAAGAAAAGAACTTCTCTCTGTATCCTTTTGGCAAGATTTATGTCTGCCTCACAGGGAGATTGTCCCAGACCCTGTTCACAACTGTAGAGCCATCTGCTCAGCACTCTGGGGCATGAGGGATGGTGAGAGAAGCCAGGAGCATGACAGCAGAATAATTAAAATACCATGTTCTGTATTCTCCAAACTAAGTCAAATCCAGGTTTTCTCTTAGGTCAAAAAAGTCAGTCATAGAGATTCTGCACCCACGCATAGACAGGAAATTGATGCATTATCTACAGGCTGTCTACAGTAGGTATACAGAGGCCAATTCAGCCTTAGAAGGAGAAAAGCTGCACCCTTTTAAAATATCTCACCTATGGTTCAAAAGACCCCCTACTCCCATTATTTTTAAGTGAACTGAATATTTTATTGAACACAAGAATTTTAATTACTTGAGTTCCATGATCCATAGGTCTCTTTTCTCCTCTACCTATTTATTTTCCAGAACATAAGTAAATGAAGTCATCATTTAGTGTCTCTATTAGCCAATATGTATCTCTCTGCAATGGAGATATTGTTGTGATTAATTATATGTTTGATAATTGAGAACTTCTCCATGAGGGAGTACAAAGCTAACTTCATGGATGCTTGCTGTTTCTTTCCATACTTTACTTTTCCTGTTCTATTATTTTGTGGCATTGTTTCTCTGTCCTTCATGGTATATGTGGCTCTTCTCAACTGAGAATCATTTATGAGTTAATAGGCTGTTAGCCACTTTCTAGAACTTTTATGAAGTTGTTGATGTAGGTTTACTGTGTTTTTCTTTTCTACAGAGAAGAATGGAAATTTACCTCTGTAAATGCATTTTAAATTTTCTATCATGTATCTCCTTGCACCTTTCTCATCTATGTAGCTCAACATAGCAACAAACAGATACACTACATCATAGAAATATATTCTGAATAATATCTAGCCAAAAATATGTCTCTAATATGTTCATTTTGAAAAAAAAATACTATATAACCAATTTTATGTAACTATGGCTTATAAATCAATTAAAGGCAGATATTTTGCTCTATTCATTTAGGTACCTCCAAAAATTAATCTCATGGAATACAGGTACTTGGGGAATGCCTGCTGTTAAACTGACAGTGTCACCCTCACAAAGAAGAGGACATATGGTTACCTATTTTCCACATCCCCATCCCAAACCCTACAACAGCAACAAATGAACAAATTTCCTTACCAGCACAAGGTAGAGTTACTAACTCAGGTGTTTAGGGTCTTTTGGACATTTTAGCAATTTTTGTCCATGGAAAATTTAAACTTATCACACAGATCATTATCCCAAATTATTCTCTGAGAGTGTTCAGATTTATCTTACCTAAAGATAGAATTGACTATTTCAGCAAAATTACCAGACCCACAAAAATGCGTCTACCAAAACAATACATTATGTGGAAATTTTGCTATGACAATCTACATAACAGCTTATTCTTACATTGTGTTTCATCTTATATTTATTTTTAAAATTTATCTTTTACTTACAAATAAATGAAAGACATATTAGGATATATACACATACATATACACTCACACTTTTTACTAACTTAGTATAGTTAGCCAAGAAGCTAAGCAGACCACAATGTGGTATTTTCCTTTTTTAAATTTTTACTTTAAGTAACCTCTACACCCAGTGTGGAGCTTGAACTCACAACCCTGAGATCAAGAGTCACATGCTCTACTGACTGAGCCAGCCACGTGCCCCCACAGTGTAGTATTTTTAAAAGGAAAACCACTCCTCCAGATATTTTAGGGCTCTTTTTTATGTAGTCAGTAGTTCCAAAGGGAATATATTGATTCTATAAACCAGAAAATAATCTTTCCACAACATAACTAAAACTTTCATACTGAAAAATGGCAAAAATAATGCAATTTCAGAACTAATTTAATTTTTAAAAATTTTGATATCTTGCTTTAAGGTGGCAACTATTTCAAACCATAGGTAGTGTATATAAGTAAAAGATGGTAAGAGTCAAAATAATCTCAATTTGTAGAGCTCATGATTGTTCAGAAAATGACCAGTCACATAGGGTAGTCACAGAACACCTAGTTATTAAAAAATGCAGAAATGCTGATTTAATGCAGACCCAGGTTCCTAGCATGCACTGACTGACCAGCAAGCATCATGAGCTTCCATCTAGGAGACAAGTTGGCTTAACTGTGCAGTAGGCATACCTGTAAAGTAAATGAGAATTCTCATTCATACCATCATAATATAATAAGGAATTACTCCCTACTCAGAATGTTGCTTCAATACCAGACAATCTAGTTCAGAACTGGATACCTAATGATTCTATCTTTAATATCAGCTGTGGCTAAAGCTGGAAAAGTATGAAGAGATGTATTTTATTAATAAAATATTTTTCTACTTAAATTCAATTTAGTTAACATATAGTATTAGTAGATTGAGGGGCAGAATTCAATGATTCATCAGTTGCATATAACACCCTATGGTCATTACATCAAGTGCCTTCCTTAATGCCCATCACCCAGTTATCCCACTCCCCTACCACCTCCCCTCCAGCAATCTCAGTTTGTTTCCTAGAGTTAAGAGTCTCTTATGGTTTGCCTCCCTCTCTGTTTTTATTTTATTTTCATTCCCTTCCCTTATGTTTATCTGTTTTGTTTCTTTAATTCCACATATGAGTGAAATGATATGCTCTTTGTCTTTCCCTGACTTATTCCACTTAACATAATACCCTCTTAGTTCCAACCACATTGTTGCAAATGGCAAGATTTCATTCTTTTTGATGTCCAAGTAATATTCCATTATGTGTATGTTATATATATATATATATATATCTCCACTGTATATACATGTGTTATATACAATGTGTGCTATATGTGATATATATATATATATATATATGGCACATCTTCTTTATCCATTCATCTGTTGATGGACATCTGAGCTCTTCCCATATTTTAGCTATTGCGCACATTGCTGTTATAAACCTCAGGGTGCATGTGTCCCTTCAAATCACTATGTTTGTAGCCTTTGGATAAGTACCTAGTAGTGCAATTTCTGGGTCATAGGGCAGTTCTATTTTTAACTTTTTGAGGAAACTCCATGGTGTTTTTCACAGTGGCTGTACCAGTTTGTATTCCCACCAACAGTGTAAGAAGTTTAGCCCTTCTTCCGTATCCTCACCAACATCTGTTGTTTTCTGAGTCATTAATTTTAGCCATTCTGACCGGTATGAGGTGGTGAGATGTATTTTAAAAATCCATAAGTGTTGTGTATTGTTTAGATTTAATAGAATGTTTTCTCCAGGAGCTCAAGATGTTGCAAATTATTCTCAGATTTAGAAAGGACTGTTCCTTAAAGAGAGTGGGTGTTAGTGCCAAGAGGAGAGGGAGAGAATGTCCCTTTACTTCAGGTGGGATTTTTTGGCAGGCAGCTAAGAACATGGGGTTTTAATACAGAGTACTACTTCTCCAGGAAGACTTCTATTATTAGTATCCCATCTTTTTTCATGGATATTTCTTTTCTTTTTTTAAAAGATTTTATTTATTTATTTGAGAGACGGAGATCACAAGTAGGCAGAGAAGCAGGCAGAGAGAGAGGAGGAAGCAGGCTCCCTGCTGAGCAGAGAGCCCGATGCGGGGCTCGATCCCAGGACTCTGGGATCTGTCTTAGAGACCCAGGATCTCTAAGGCAGAGGCTTTAACCCACTGAGATACCCAGGTGCCCCTCATGGATATTTCTTATGACCTCATCATATGCCACATAGCATTAGTTTTATCTATACTCACCTTTATTCATAAGCTTATTAATGACAGTGACCCTTCTGGAATTTACCTAAGGAGCCCTCACAGGGCCTAGCTACACATACCCACCATGTACCTAGTAGGCACTCACTGAGATGTAGAATAAATAAACTGAATTTAATTTAATACATTGCTATTAGGTAAAATATCAAATATTTGCTAATTATCTAAGAGGTACAAAATAGAAGAGTAACTATTTTAACATTTTGAAATAATTAAAAGTATCAGATACAAAGGGAGATTTTAAAAGAGAATTACTGAGTGTGGTAGTAACATGAAAGTAAA